GAAGACAACTGACCAACATGAGGAGGACTGACAACTACTGATAGCACTGCTAGCTTTTGTGGGTTTAAAAAAATTCTCATGAATGTTTATTGCTTTGCTATGTTATCATCATAGATTTTGTCAGACAAGACCAGTAAAAAACAGTATCTCATACCAGCAAAACTGTAATATTTTTTTTTTATCTAACATCTTTCAATAACCAAAATAGTTATAAAACTCTATGATGTGTAAGATGCTAAATAACCATCTTCACTTTCCATATAGTAGGGTAACACATAACATTATAGGATTGATAGGAATGACATTGTGAATTCTGAATTCTGCTTAGCATGCACCAGGAGACCCTAATTGATATATCGAAAGGATATGTGTGAAATCAGTTGAAAAAAGTGTTAATGGTCTATCAGAACAATCAAAAAAAAAAGAAAAAGAAATCCAGATCTTGATAAAACAGAAATTATATGCGTATCTAACGTGGACCTTAGCTAGTGTCTAGGCACTTAAACTCACCATTATAATTCTGAAAAACCTTACTCAGCTGCCATCTATCCCTGAAGGTGCGTAAGCTAATTAGATGCTGTGATTGTGGACTTCGAAGAACTTCAGGTGCCTATGGCTCTACTACTCCCTGTGCAGAGAAATGTTTCCTTTTCTGCCAGGGCCAAAAAGCTTGAGCTCCTGAGATGGGGGATTACTTTGCCTGAGTGTCTGGGGAGGCTTGGTCCTGAGGGGGGATTGCCAGGACCTAAGCCACGTTTGCTAGCTATATCTGGTGCCCTAGAAATGCTGTCCCTTCTCCAAGGACTCCGTGGCTGATGTGGACCCCGTGTTTTCTGTTCATTATACCAAGGCCTGAGATATCTCACATTAGGTTGTGGATTCCACTTGAAAGCCTGCAAGTCAGATTTTGCAACACTATATTTTTATTAATCTCATTCCTGTGTTTATCTGCCTGAAGTGGGAAACCCACAGCAGTAACAGATACCTTCATTCAGAAAGCTGTCTGCGGAAGAATCGCAATTCTGGCAAAAGGATTTCTATTTAGAGTATATACATGCATATACATCTGTCTGTGTGTGTGTGTGTGTGTGAGCATTTTAAACAATAAATCACCTATTTATCTGCAGTACTTATGTGACACCTATTAAATTCATATTAGAGATAAGGAACTGAAATGAAGGCATAATCACTAGACCTCATTGAAAAAAATCTTTCCAATGTAGTAATCTTTCCAACCTGTTGCCGAGAAAATCAAAGACCTGAACTCAAGCCTTCCAAACCAGAGACAGATGTTGCAGCTTTGGAACTTGGTGGAATTTTCCTTTGTGGAATATCAGTGGGCTTTTCTCTGTAACTGCAGTTGGACAGATGCACTGTCTATACAAATGCACCGTCTTTACAGTTTTCTTCAACTGAAAAGATCTAGAAGGACTAGTCGGTATTTGAATGTTTCCTATGTTGTGGATATCAGCCATCATTGCACAGAAGACTGTAGTAGGCAGATTTCTTTTTTTCCATGCCTTCTTCCTGAGACCTTTCAAGAAAACTAGTTCAATTAAAATAAAGATTTATAAACAATGAACACATTTACCTGCTAATATTTCTTAACAGATTTTTGGGGTAAATATTTTTTGTTTCAGTGGCTGAAGTCATGGCATAAGATTGTATGGCCATGCGGGTTGAATTCTGTAAATAAGGTGATTAAGTGTTTCAGTTATTGGCACTTCTACCACCTTACTCACATGAAGCACAATTTTACTTGCAGACAATCTGTTGAACCACGTCTGTTGATCTTCCAGAAAATCAATAGAACTATTTGCGGTGCTAAGTAATTTAAGTGTGGCTGAACCTGACTTCATATCAGCTTTTGGGCACACTTCAGAAGTGCATAATTCATCCAAAATACCACAAAATGACTTGCCAGTAATATTTTAGACAAAAGTCCTTGAAAAAAACTACTTTCCAAATCCTAAGAAACAAAATTAGTGTTAGGTCAGAGGTCTTGTGGCCTTCCATTTATCATTTATAAATTCTCCAATATAAGCTGTATGGACAGTAATTAACCAGCTTCAGCCTGGCAAGCAGAATTCTGAGATTCTATAATACCCTGAATTATCTTCTATTATTCTAATCATATCTAAATTGTTTTAATATTATGGACATATCTAAAGTTATTTATAGGAGAAATTGAAGGTGGAGAGCAAGCACTTTGCCTAATACACAGGACTGTAAAATTTTGTTCCCATACATATAACAGAGATGTAAATAAAAATGGCATCATCCAGGAAAAATAATATTAAGCCTGCTATGGACTTTTTCATATAATCTTTAAAACAACATCAGCATAAGGAGTCCATGGCACCTCTTGGCTACTTATTCCTCCTGAAACTTCTAGCTAAATGACTAAATCTCCAAGAAATATTACTGGTAACTTGTTACTACCTACTACAGATCAGTTTTCAGACCACTTCATCTTACTTACCAAATGTATGTCTTTAAGGGGTGCTCGGTGCTGGACCAGGGATATATTCAACATGGCAGTGTGGGAATGTGTCCTAGTTACCTTTTTACTAGCCATCATCATGTTGGTTTATTTCTGGCATTACTAAGTGCTCCTTCTAACTGTACTGCACACCCATGTATTGCATGCTAATAAATCCCATTTTTGAAGAACAGACAGAAAAGAAAGAGATACAAGAGTGTCTTTTTCACAACAACCTGAAAAAGAAGGGAAATTTTCTAACGGCTCAGTACTGACCAGGCAGAGTAATTAACACAAAGTAACAGAGAATCAGCTGCATTGGAAATATTGAAGAAAGGGGATTTTTTACTTTGCCTCAGGATTATTAACATACAGATGAGCTCCAAAAACACTGAAAACACCTAATTGTTGTTTATAGATGTTTTTTAAGTAGAGTTTGTAAGAATACAGATTTGTAGAAACCACAGCAGTAAAGGCCAAATAAAGAGAAGATTGATTGGAAATCGTAGATTACTTTAGACAGTTGGATTAGGTAGAAATCACCCTGATCTGTTGTAAAGCAAGCAACAAGAATTAGGGTTTTGAAACAGTGAGAAGCATGTCTTAGAGTGTTAGCATTTTCTTCCTAGGAATAAACTGTCTTAAAATCCCTCCGTAAATGACTGTTCATTAGCCTATCAATGTGTATAATGGCTCTCAAAATCATAATAAGAATTAATAATAGTTCAAATAGCAGAAAGGGACATTAATTTCTCATTCATGAATATTAATACTTTAGTAGACAGTCTCTTCCCGACATGCTTTCAAACTCTTTATTCTCAAGTCTATTACCAGTTACCTGTTATTTTTGCTACTGAAAACCTCCCCACCAGGCCACCAAAAGATTTCAAATCATCCTGACATGGACCCTAGCAGAGAGAATGAGAGCAGAAGAATGAGATTATGGTGTCCTGATAATATTCTTCAGAATACAATAGCCAAAGCACAAACCAAGGGCAATGAAAAGTAGTGACAAGGCGGGAGGAAGACTATATTTAGCCACAGAAGACCAGTATGATGGTGGATTATCAGGAAAAGCAAGTGATAATGGCAGAGGATAGGTATTAAACACAGCTGCTGAATAAGGTGAATGAGAAGAGAAGCAAATGGCATGTCAGGCTGTGACCTGCGAATGGACTGCATCCACCTAAGGCACTGCATCTCCTCCTTTCCAAGAGGACATAGATGGTGGATGGAGATCCACCTGAGGGGCCTGTTCAAGTGCTGGTGCTTTGATGAGCATCTTATCGCAACGCATCACGGAAATTGAAACTAAACAGTAAGAAAATCCCCTCTTAGCACTGCAGAGACTGTGCAACAGGAACTTAAACTCAAGAGATGATGTTCTCCATCTAGCTTCCATGTGCTTCGAAAGGAGAAGAAAGTGAGCTGCCAGAAGTAAACTTTCAGGTAATGCATTTCTTTACATTGTGTATTTAAATGCACTGCATTTCTAAATAACCAAGAAGGGAAGGGTCTTGTGAGATGTATTTAACCTCATTATATCTGATGTCGGGTCTTGAAAAGCTCTAGTTGAACTAAAGACTCTTATGAATACAAAATCAAAGTGAGCTGTACATTAAGGGTTTCATATTCTCTGACAGCTGCGCATGTGCACACAGAACTCTCATTAACAGTAATGGAAAAGATGCGTGCCCATCATTGAGAAAACATATCTCTAAGTACTTTATTGGGTTTGGCTTTTTCCTAGAGATTTTTCTCTCTTGGACCTTTAATTAATCTCCTACTAGGCTTTTTGCCTTTAAGCTATCCCTCTCTTTCCCCCTTCCAATGGGAGTAAAACCCCAAATCACTCTGTTTTTCAGTCAAGTTTTTCCAAGCTGATACATTTTTACAAAATGCACCTGCATATATTAAATGCAGAGAGGGTCTGCAGCACACAAACTACAGAGACATGTAAGAGAATAAATGTCCTGGGCTTTGAAAATACTTTTGAAGCTTGTTAACTTTAAAACCAAAATAAAATAATAAAGCAAAGGTAGATATGAAAATGAGAACACGAATGTTTTTTCATTCTTTTTTGTGATCACTGCAAGGCAAGAGTCTGCAAACCTGGTGGAACAAAACACATGCATTTCATTCTGATTAACATAAAGACAGCCCCTTCTAACATGATTCACAATTATTAGTCTCTCTCTTGTGTTTGGGGATATATGGATTATCAGCCTAGCATATTTTGAATACATACACATTTAAATTCCTTTCCTAAACCATTTTAGGCAGTACAGTTAAATCGCACACACAAAATTTATAGATCAATAATTTGATATTTTTTCTCCAGTTAAATAACTAAATGCTGTGGGAGATAAAAGGCAGTCAAAAACAATAAAAAGACAGGATCACGGATAATGGAAGGTAAGTCAGCTTTGAGATGCCTCTGTTCTTCTATTTTTAAGTTTATTATTATTTTTATATAACAGGCTATTTCACTAGCTTCTACTGTATCTGATGTACTTACTTATCGCCTCCACAAACTGTTCAAAGAAGCAGTATGGGAACAGCGGCTCAGGCAGCTCTCTGAAAAACATCTTGAGTGCTCCGGTGACAACGTGGATGTCCTCCCACTGGCTGTCGTCCAAATTCAGCTTCTCTTCTGGGAAAACACGAGGAGAAATGGAACAACTGGTTTTAATGAAACAATTACAAGACACTAATTATTATGTTAATGTTTGCCTACTATCATCAGCAACCGTTAACAGCCTTCTGCACCTAGAGGTTTGGTGCTGTGCATGTTTTTTTTTTCTTTTTTTTTTTTTTTTTTTGTAGAAAGAGAACATTTTCAATGGAATACCATCTGTAGGAATGCAGCTAACAAAAAACAAGAGACACAAAGAGACAGTACCATTGACACAGTATGTCAGATACATTTATTCCCATAATGCATCAGTATGAAAATTAGCATCACAGCTCAACATGATTCAAAGCTATTTGGTTTTGAGGCCGAGGGGCTAAGAGTTGCCAACGATGGCCGGCTCAAGGGACCGGCCTAAAGGCCTTGCTGAGCCAACAGGAGACATATGCTAAACATGGCAATAGAAAATGAGTTATTGCTTTACATGTGTTAGCCTTGCTATGTACAAGGGAATAATGGGTAACGCTTTTCTCCTTTTTTTGCCTGAATGTAATGTCAGCAAGGAATAGAGTACTGTGAGAGAAAGGATATTAATTCCTTCTTACTGCTTCAAAAATATTTTGTTTGGTTTTCATCTCTGGGAGGAAGATTTGCCCAGCAACAATATTAGACAGACCCCTGTTGGCCTACCTAGGCTATGCAAAGCTGTCAAAAATGATAACACACTAAAGACAAACCACAAGTGCTTACAAAACTGTTTTGCAAACAAAAAAAAAATGTTTTCTTTTGAAGCTTGACTGAGCTAAGGAATTTAAATATAAAAGAAGCTAAATGCTAAAATAGACTTTTTAATAAAAATAAAACAAGATTGGATGATTATTCTATTTTTCTTTGGTTTTGTTTTTTCTTTTTAATTCTAGTAGTGTGATACTGTCAGAACATAATAAACAGTGAGATCATAATCCATATAAAACTCTAGGAAAGTGCAAATCCTTATTAGTCCAAATTAAAATGACACACACTTTCTCCAAGTTCTGTTACTCCAAAAATGGAGTTTGCTTTTTTTCACATGTGCTATGATTCTCTTTTTTAGAAAATTTCAGTCTGAATGCAAATCGGGGGCCAACCATGAAAACTACTGAACAAATTTAATTTGAAGCAACATAATTCTGAAATGTTTTACTAAATGTCACTGAAATTTCATGTTTAGCAATTCAGCTGGCTTCAAGAGCAGCCTCTTTATTGAACTGTTGTCAAACAAAATGGTAAAATTATTGGAGACACATGGACACCCACAACTCCAGATCCCCGGGTACTTTAATGCAATAGTTTTCTCACTATAGAGTTTACTTCTGGACAGAAAATCTTATTCAAAATGGAGTCATCTTTCAACTTTCATTTAATAAATGTTATTAAATGCTTTCTAAATTTCTGGATTTAGGAAATGTATACAAATAAAGGAATGGACCCAATTCCTTAACTTGGAGTAATATGAGACAAAGCTGGAACAAAGGCAGACTTGTGCATTTCATTTAGTTGTCTTGCTTGCTTCTTTGGTTTCAAGCCTTTTTTTTTTTTTTTTTTTCCTTTTTTCCCTTCTTTTTTTCCCATTGAATTACCTCAATCATAAAAGTAATGATTTGATCTCAAATGAGTTACCAGAGGGGATCTTCTTTAGACTCTGAGATCATATTTGATTGATCGTATTTCAACAATTAGCCTTTTATTTTGCCACACACTATTGAACTAGATCGACAGCATCTTAGCAGGCCAGCTTTAAACAGTCAACTGTTAACAATAGCATCAAAAAGAGAGACCTGATGGGGTTTACTGTCACTTTAAAGAACAGGGTGGGTTTTCACATTGTTGAAATCTGTCAGATATTTTGAAATGTCCCTCTCACTATGGTGCCACACCCCCTGCGTGCCCTTATAATAAAATTGGTTTTACTCCTGATTAAATCATTTTCTCCCTACCCACTACCATACTTCTCATAATGGACCTGTGTGCTCTACAGCTGGTGTTCTTCCCATGGTACCAATTCTTACTTTATCTTTTAAGCACTTTGCTGCTAAGATCTCATGCAGAGTGCTTATGTTTTGTTAAGAGCTTCATTCTTAGAGAAATAGCTTAACACATGTTCTAAAAATGTTGTACAACTTATTGCTTAAAACACATTTAGAAAATGTATAAGTACTGTAGCTTTGGCACAGAACTTTAAGTAGAAACCTTAAAAAAAAACCCAACTTGTTTTTGCCATGCATTTGTCTTAAATGTCTAAAGTGGAATGCTTGACTTCTAAGGCTTTATAGAGACTTATCTTACCAGATTTTTGCACCATTTCCAGCTCTTCAAGGAAACGTGTTAGGAATGTATCATCATGAAAGCAAAGGGTGTCAATTTTCCCTCTAGCAATAAGAGAGTTTTTAAAAATGTTTGCTAGAAGGAACAAATGCCAAGTAAAAAAAAAAAAAAAATAAAAAGAAAATAGAAGTCCATTCAGTGCAAGACTCTCGTTTGGTTCCCACTGGTTGGAATCACTCACATACCATGGTGATAGGACCATAAACAAACACACACATGCATTTCAGGCTTGGTTTAAGGGGAGGACCTGACTTTTTGGCTTTACTCAGACATATTTCTTATTGGGGTGTTTTGCTTACATAAAGATTAAGTCCCAAATCTGGTATTTAAACTTGACAGTCAAGGACTGCTTTCAGTCAGGAGATACTGTATCTGGGAAGATGCTCAAAATCTCACAGTCCTAAAAATTTGCTTTAACTTGTCAGTAGTATTTGATTAGTTCAACCATCACTGCCAGTTGATATCATATATCTTAGATACAGACACAAATATGCCCAGAAAATCCCATAAAATTTATGCTAATACTCAGGCTGAAAATATAAAGACCACATTAAGGAAAAAAAAAAAAATAGTGTAGGCACTTGTCAAGGTTATTAGTTAAAAAAAATCAATATACAATACATTTATGAAGGGAATGTGTGTTTTACTGTGTTATTATTCTTAGTAAATCAGCCTTTTCAGCAATACACCTATATAATGGCACTCGCAATGTCTGCAGTAAAACCAAACTGGAGTTCAGCTTTGGTTTAAGCATACCATCATAAGGTTATCCTTGTTCAAAAAGGAAGAATGTAAACTATTGAAAGATCAGTTAAAGACAAAAAAGCAAACAAAAAAAAAAAAAAAGAAAATACGAAAATCAACTAAGGCAGTACAGAGAGCTTGGTTTTGAAAGAAAATTGATGTGGTTTCTCTAACTACATGCCCTGCCCAGTATGTAGACTGGTCTCTAGGAGTAAAATGCAGTCATTTGGGAGCACTGGTCATTCATTTTTCTTTTAAGATAATTTATACAAGAATTTTCCCAGCTATATACTGTCTTTTGCCCATGCTGTCATTAAATCCCCGAGCACCATGTTCAGAAGTCCTGGTTCAATTTGGATGTTATGTATTCCTGCAAATGGTCTCGTGGATGACCCCAAATCATGTGGAAAGCAATCCTTGCAAACACAGTTATCAGCGTCTGCTCCGCTATGGAGGTTGCGCCCTCAAAAAAACAGTCTAAAGACTTTGGTGAGACGTGTCTTACTGGGTCTCACACTGTAATCTTTTCGATAACACTGAGGCCTTTTTCAGACTTTCCCTGCTGCTGGCTGCACAGGGCAGCATCGGGATGGCAATGTGCTGCACGGTGAGCACTCCGGCACAACAGCTGCCACCTCTCTATTCCCTTATTAAACCTTTGGCATTTGGGGTTCAGCCAATCCCCAGCTCCAGTGTGTGAAACCCCAAAGCACTGGAGTCTCCATCCCAGGGAGCAGTGCATATGCTGAGGGAGATCTCCCCTGGAGAAAGTCCTGCACAACACTGTTAAATAATGCATACAGTTTCCCTCACTTCAAGATCTTTGCAGGAGAGCTGGGTGTGCACAATGCATTCCCAGTTGACTGAAAGCTTGGGAAACTTGCTGGACTCACTCATCCCAATAGGCAGTTTACTAGTGAGAGATCCAAAACAGAGTCCTGTGGTTGAATGAGGAAAAGAAAACTCTTGCACATACTAGGAAAAGACAAACAGTCCAGTGTCATTCTTCTTTTTTCTCAAACTTGAAGACACCTCTTTTTTTTTTTTTTTTCCTTTATATTTTCTTTTTAAATGGTTATATTCTTCAAAAATAATTTGCTGGTCATTCATGGTCTTCAATAGGAAAGAAAAGAAAGAACAGACTCAAGCAGAAATTCTTTACTTGCATCAGCACACTCCATCACTAAATCTCTTTGTGAAGGCCGTTCTCATGACTGACAGCACAAATATTAATTTGTACACTGAAAGGTATATGTGTTCGATAGCTGGACCTGCATTTTACAAGACACAGCTTCTCTGATCACTAGTACAGAGGCATTGCATCCTTCTTGGGGCAAACAACTTCTTTCAAAGCAATTGTGCTCAATTTAGAGCAGTAATAGAGCATAGAGATGTCTGGGGACATGACAGCAATGGGATGCTGTGAGGTGGTGAAGGCTCTTGGTCGTCATATGACAAGGAGCTCATTTTGTGGTGATGTGGCACATGATGATCATCTTCCTCCCCTGCTGGTACATCCAGTCCTGACACCATATTTTATAGACACTCTCCAAAGGACATAAAATCCCTTGAACTTTGGTTAAATAATACAGCAGAAGCCTCAACTTATGAAAAGCAACACTTCCCTTATGCAGCCAGATTTCTTGTGAGTTTTTCTCCCAGCAAATAATTATTATTCTCTCCCTTGCTGGGTTTGGGAGGTCCACTGTCCTGCCTGCACTCAGTGCATGGTCCCTCACTTCCAGGAGTGCTTAAACAAATCAAAGAAAATGTCGACTAAGGACACCATTAAATTTAGTATACAATGTACTTCTAAGCAGCTTCTGCTGAATCCATCCAATACTACTGTTGATGAATTAGCAAAGATATAGTCATCAAAAGAGAGCTTGTGTGCATTACTCCTTCTCTGCTAG